GTGGGCTTCTGGGGGTGGAAGCTCTCCTGCAGCCCCCCAATTGCCTCCTCTCCCCAGATGGCAGCCTGCGGCAAGTGCAGCCGGTCTGATGGCTGAGTGGTGTGATGTGCCCAGTGTGGGTAGTCTGGGCAATCCAAGCCAGGACTGCTTTGTAAGCAGGGCACCCCTGAGAACTGTCTGTCTGGGGTGGGGGTTGGGACGCTTTAAGCACAGCCCTCGGCTAGCCTGAGACAGCATCTCCACGCTCTAAGTCCTCCTCTGATGCCCTGCCGGCACTGCTTCCGGCCATCCTTAACCCCAGTTCAGGGTCCACTTAATGTGGACGCGCTAGTTCGAATTAGCAAAATGCTAATTCGAACTAGTTTTTAGTTCTAGATACGTTAGTTTGAATTAGCTTAGTTCGAATTAACTAATTCGAACTAAGTTAGTTCGAATTAGCGCTGTAGTGTAGACATACCCCAATTTCTTCTCTCTTTCCTGTGCTTGAAACCTCTTTGAGAAAGTTATGTAGGAGGGAAGATTGGAGTGTTTTTAATAATTCAATAAACCAGTGGGTATTGGGCAAACCCTCCTGCCCCCCAGCCAGGGGCAGCCTCCCCCTTCCTTTGTTCCTCTCCATGGGGGTTAGCTGGTCAGACAGGTTGACTCATCGCTTGTCTTGCTTGGTGGTGCTACAGACAGCAGCCAGTGAGTTAGCAAGTTACCCCCAACTACGTCACACCCCCACTGCTGCAGCAGTGAACACTTCCTCCCTCTACATCGCATCCATCCCCCGCTGGAGTCAAGGAGCCAGTGAGAGGCCAGAAGGCACCTTGAGAACCGAGGTCGAATCCCACTGAGGAAAAGAGAAGGACCCTAAAGTCAGGAAGTGTCACTGGGCAGGAGGCTGAAACAGAGACCAAAAGTGAGAGGGGGCCCCCAGCCGATCCAGGAGCACCAGGGAGGAGCTGCTTGAACTGGCCGTCCCTGCAGAAGATGTGACAAAGCCCCACGACTGGCCCGGGCCAAGGCCAAGCAATGAGGTTTCCGAAAACCCCATAAGGAGCAGCCAGCATCACCCAAGGGAACTCCCACCCGGGCGGCGTGACCGGTGGCCTCAACTGGGCTCTTCCCAGAGCACTGGCAGCCGTGGGGCGATCCCGGCAATCAGGCCGGCAAGTGTAAGCTCCCTGCCGGGCATGTGGGCTGCAACGAGAGCTCGGAACAGACGTGTCGGACACAGAGACGAACACGATTGCTGGGGAGTCCACATGGCTTGTGCAAACTCACTAATCTGCTCACTCCCTCGGGGGCACTGAGCCCTATGGTCTGACCCCGTGTGGCTGTTCTCATGCCACGGAAAGAGACAGTGACAATCACCACGACCAGGATCCAGGATGGGGGGTTTCACAGCGCCTGTCTCCACTGCATCCCGTGCCAGGCGAGAGTAGGAGTCTGCCCCGTGGCCCCATTCCTAGTCACAGCTGGAAGGCCAGACATGGCGTGGACGTGGCAGCCAGGCTGCAGTGGCAATGTGGCCCTTGGAG